CAAAGATCTTGGAGATTTTTCGGTGAAGCACACTGTGTCCCATGGTCTATTTAGTATAAAGACTCTTCTGATGGACATTTGGTGTTTGCACTTTTGCTACTTCCGACAACGATGCAGCGAATATGCTAGTATGTAAATCACTTTGTGCATTTATTGTAACTTCGTAGACATGTAACTGCTTGCTCAAAGGGCATTTGCATTTTTCACATTGATAGACTTCGCGTGGGGGAATTCAATGCAGGGGATGCTGGGACCAGATCTGTTTCAGGAAGATCCTCTCGGAGGCCCCAGGATGATGGGAGTGAGGGAAAAGACAAGTGTGGAAGGTGGTATGATCACACCAGGTGAAATATGATGACGGGCAGAACAGAGCGCCGGCTGAGGAAAGGAAGGGAAGGGCGAGCGTGGAAGAGACGCTAGTAACTGATTAGATGTGTCCATATGGGAGAGGAGAAATCAAATACAGAGGCCCAGAACCCCACGTGGGGAGGGATTAACCAAGAGATAGAAGGAGTAGCTTCGATCAGACTCTTGTAAACCGGGAATGTGTCTGCAAAGGTAGGAAAGCAGAAAGGGAAGAAATCACCACCTCAGGCTTGGTAGGGCTTGAGGAAGGGTAAGACTCAAAGAAAGTTAGAGGGTCCCAATGTCCCCCCGGGGAGGGCTGATCAGACTCAGTGCAGTTTCAGACAAGAAAGGGGTGAAGAGCACCCGCTTTGGAGTCTTTGAGTTTAGAGTTGCTTGTGAACTGTGTTAGCCAGTTTAGGCTTTCTGGTGGGACCAACGACTGCCAAATTTCAGTGATTTAACCCAACAGATTATTTCTAGCTCACATCAGCATCCACTGCAGGAACACTGATGAGGAAGGGGCTCTGCTCAAAGCAGTTACTGAGGATCCTAAGTTCTTCCATATTCAGATTCTACCCTCCTCGAGATGCTTAGCATCCTCCAGAGACAACTGCGTAGAGGCAGGTTTTATGGGCCAGAACTGGAAAGGACTTAGGCCCCTTTCACCTACTTTCTATTGGTCAGAGTTGAGTCCCAGGGCTGCAGTTAACTGCAAGGGAGCCTGGAAATGGCACCCGGCTGTGTGCCTAGGAAGAAAAGGGAAGTGCTTGGTAAACAGCTAGCCAACCTCTGCCCCCAAAACTGTGTGTCCTGGACAAGTCATTTAACATCTCAGAGGTTCAGTTTTTATGTCTGTAAAAAGGGGGTAGTCACCTCCTAGGTAGGATCATTGTGAAGATTATGAGATCATGTATGTCATCCACTTAGCCTGACTTAGGGAGACTACCGTGACTATTTATACATGTTCATAGTGTGTGCTTTTTAGTTGTGACCTTATGAGAGCCGTTGTGGTGGTTTTTCCCGGTTTTTTCTCTACCCATTCCAGGTCTACACAGACAGAGGAAACCTCACTCTGTTTTCTGACTGACTGGATCCTGCCGGCCCCAAAGTCGATTTATTTTCTTGAAATAAATCGTTTGGTTTGGCTGACTCCATGGATAGAATTCATGAGATTATTTCCAAATCTCACTATGCCTGGTCCATGTAGACCCAGCCACAACCTCTGCCAGACAGCTGCGCTCTGAGCACACGCGGGCTGAAGAATGATTCTTGTCCATTCTTTCATGTTATTCCCACACTTCAGAAGTCTGGAGGGAAGCTGAATGTTTGCTGTTCTGGGATCATTTGAAGCCGGGCATGCAAAGAGTTCCGAGTCACTTTCAAGTCTGCCCGTAGGAAATCTTTCTTGGCAACCAGACAACTAGAATTAGTTATTAAAGGCATGTCAAATGAATAAAGACACCTCTGTGAGGAAAACCGCAAGTAACCGCAGTTACTTTTTCTAATATGAATAGGAGGCTAATATCAAATCACCTTTAATTTTCCACTCTTTCTTCGCTGTTTCAATGGTGGGTCAAATCTAATAATACAGATACAACAGAAAACCATTTCTGTTTTCATCTATCTCAATACATGTGCCCACTGCAGATGTGTGTCTTAAAAAACCAGGGTCTGGAATTTGAATAGTGCCTGCATACTGACAAGGCTGTTTCCTCCAGGAACGTTCTCTGGGATGCCAGGCCTGTGTTGCCCTCACAGGCTGTAAGAAGCCAACCCATGCAACAGAATGAAGCATGGTCTTGTCTGTAAAGCATGCCTCCCACAGAGCTCGGGCCACAGCCTCCACTGAAAGGCAGGGATGGTCATGAGGACACAGCCCTCAGGATCTGGGGAGAACGTGGTGTGAAGGCATCTTGAAAACATGGGCCTGCTTTCCAGATGCCAGTCACCGAAGGCCCGGCGAACTCTCATTCCCAGGTGGCCTAGATTTAGGGTCACTGGATAGATTTGCAGACCGGGGAGCTGATGACCAATGGGAAGTGCTGTATCGTGGTTATGAGGCTCCCAAGTCTGACACACTGTCTGGGTTCAAACCCCAGGGCTGGTATGTTTTGTTGTTGTAACAAGCAAATTGCCCGATTTCTCTGCACCTCAATTTCCTCATCCATAGAATGGGGATAACAATACCTGTCTCACATGGCTGTCATGTGTAATAAATGAGCTAATTCTTACAAAACACTTAGAACAAATATTTGGTAATGAGTAAGTTCTCAATGACTATTGGCTATTATCGCTAGTACTATCAATAATATTAACCATTATCCAACGGAGAAAGGGATCGATGGGTGATTTTATGTGTGGGTGGGTCATGTGAGCCAGAACAACTTGGAGTCTATATGGAAGGGTTGGTTGGTTGAAAGGAACCAGTCTGACACTATCAGCTCTTTGGAAGCTCTTCTGCTGGGTAGACGTGATTTGAGCCCTCGTGGTCAAATGGTGAGGCTGTCCCCATGCAGATGCTCTCCTGGGCAGACAGGTCCATCCTCTGGATACAAAAGGTTTTCCAGCCAGGATCAAAAATACAGAAACCATTTAAAAACTGACCAAACTCACTCCAACTTCCTCAAAATTAATCCCCTCAGGTAGGTCCTGTGGGACAAGGTCCCTTTGAAAGCTTTCTTGTATCCTGCATTTTGTGTGCCTAAGGGATTTGGGTGGCTTTTTCTTAAACGAACTCTTAAGGGCTAGGATTCATTCTGCAACATTTGCCCCTGGATCTAGGTGCAGGCCACCACGGTGACCTTCCTGCCCCCTTGTCCTTACCTTTTCACTAACAAATGGTGGATCTTCAGCCGGTCTTGAATCTGTGCCTTGTAGCTGCTCTAAGGTGACAAAAAATTCTCTCCTTGACCAAATGCTACTCCAGCTCCCCTGAATTCTCAACCAGGACTTGACTTCTGGGCTTCTATGTTTGTCTCTCCCATTTTAGCAAGAATCCTGCTAAGTCAGTTTGGTCAGAATCCCCTACTCTTGATATCCGATCACTCTTAATATCTGACCTGGTCCCTCGGCCTCCCCCCACCCCCACCCCCAGGGAACGTCTGATCACCCAGGCCTGCCTTCAGCAAGAATCCGGTAAGATTGATTTAGCCAGAATCCCCCCTGACCCCTGATGCTTCCTCTTGGTCATTTCCCATTCACTGACCCCCCCGCCCCCGCACCGTGCTCCTTGGCTATATTTCCTTGTTGAATCCTTGGCTATATTTCCTTGTTGAATCCTTGGCTATATTTCCTTGTTGAAT